GCTATCTTTAGCCTCGTCTCCCAATCAAGCTTCACTAAATTCAATGGCCCTGCTTTTAAGAAAATAAAAACCAGAACTTCTTGTTATATTTCATCGGCAAAAAATCGTTTTATCACAAACTGAAGCAAAAATGTTTTTAGAAACTAACCATGAAGGTGGTCCCAAAGAGATCCATTTTCCATGTAGTCATAGAAAAGAAGGTTGCCAATAGGAGACAAAGCATATCCATGCAAGCTGACTATGTTTCTGTGTCTGATACTCCCTAGGGTCTCGAGTTCTATCTCAAACTCTCGCAAGTTGTGGTTGTAGAGTCGCTTAATGGCAAAATGTCGGGAAGTTGTCAAACTGCATTTGTATACCGTGCTAAAAGCACCATTTCCAATTATGAACTTTTCGCTAAGGTTTTTGGTTACTCTCATTATATCATCCAATGTGTGATTGGCCATGTCCATGTGAAGAATCACAAGCTTGGTTGAGCCTGAGAAGTGGATCATAATTAGCATCTGATGAACAGAAGATGGGTTAAGAAAACTATGAATATGAAGCCATCACATTAGTACCTTCGGCTTGTTTTGAGGAGCCTTCTAGGATTTTCTTCTGCTGCTTAGATTTGTAAACCACAATGAATATCATACATAAGGAAATGATGATACCGAGAACGATGCAGATCACAGAAGCTTTGGATAATACTGCAAAGAACAAGAAAACAAGCTAAGTCCAAGTATATAAGAAAGAGCATCTATTGAAGACGACTCATAGAGTATAAACATAGTAATACCTCGGGGTTTAGCCAAAGAAGGACCACAAATAGATCCAACCCAATTACCACAAAGATATATATTCCCGACGAAACTATACGAGGAAAATGCATCAGTTTTACATCACAAGATTATGTGTATTGATCATAATGAGGGACTAGTGAGAGTAGCTTCATACCTGGCTGGAGCAAAACGTGAGAAGTTTTTCATGGATGGTACTATCCCAGATAGATTGTTGAAAGAGACATTTCTGTAGAAGATACATGTTGGATTATTAAATCTTCATAACGACAACTGTAAGTGAACATCTCTAAAAGGATAACTTACAGATTGATAAGAGTGAAACAATCTGTAAGCTGATCCGGAATTTTCCCATGAAGCTTGTTGTTATTCAATATTCTGCGCAAATACGTAACGATCTGTATGGCTTTTCAATAGATAATGCAAACTGCAAAGGATATAAGATCATATGATTAACTTACAAAGAGTTTAAATTCTGCAACTGGCCAAGCTCACTGGGAATAACACCGGAGAGCAGATTGGATGATACATCACTACAGGGAAAAACAGAGAAGTCAGGTAAAAAAAGATGCTTTTGAAGTTTGATATCTAAACTCACAAAGGAAGCAACTTTGATCCTTACACCATCTGAATGCTTCTAAGGTTCCCAAACTCTGCAGGCAATTGTCCATTGAGATGATTTCGGCTGAGATTTCTGGTCAATTATGCAACGATCAGAAGTTAATAAAAAACGAGACTTTAAACACAAAAAATCTCACAAATTAGGGATGAAGACTTACAATATGAGAAGGTGTTCTAGATCACCAAGGGTTAATGGTATAGAACCTGAGAAGTTATTGCCAGACAGATCTCTGGAAACAAAAAATGCATGATTAGTTGATGCAAAACCAAACAAAAACATATAAACCATGAAATGGAAGTTGAGAGGACATACAATGTGTCAAGATTGACTATATGTCCAAGCTCAGCTGGTATTTTGCCCTTGAAATTGTTATATGAAAGATTCCTGCGTGGACTAGATTAACAGTCACTAAAACATTTAATGAGATGCCCTGTTACTAACATATCTAAATGAATAAAAACTAACATATTAGTCAATCTCCCGAGATTGCGGAACACCAATGGTATATAACCATTCAAAAGGTTCCCATGAACATTGCTGAAACCAAATAAAACAGAGTTTAGATTTGTGAATAAGAAGAGTGAAATTTATAAAATTCAGAAAGATTCAATGCTTACAATTGATTCAAAGCTGCACAGGAACCTATGCTAGATGGTATTGGCCCTTCCAAACGGTTGTTGGCAAGATTCCTTTCATGTCGTAAAAATAGATCATTCGAA